GCTCAGCCAGTGAGCGCTGTGAGCGCACCAGTCATCCCTACATAGGATCCGAACCCGCGGCACGCTCCCAGCGCCACACCCTCCCGAGTGCGCCATGGGCTCGGCCCCCAACAGTTGCTTTTTAATTAATGAAATGTTTACTATAAATTCAGGATTTCTTATAAAAATAAATTAGACAGAAAAGTATACCACTGTCACGTAGTGCATCATACATGTATTTGCTCATGTGCCACTGCTCAGTTCTGCTGTGTCTGCAGCAGGCTGTCCCTGAGCTTAGATTGTGAATTAATATGCGTGTGCTTGTGGTGTGCTTGTGTTTCCAGCTTATGTGAGGAGATGGGCTTTAATGTGAAAAGATCACGGTGGGGCCATGCTGTCCCTTTTTTTTTTTTTTTTTAAATGAAAATGTCATTTCAAACATTTATTTCCTTCATGAGTGAGAAAGAATTTTAAAAGCAGTGTAGCCAGCATACAGACACAATGCTGCAGAACATTGAATATACACAAGTTCTTTAAAAATCACAGGGAACAGAATGAAATGGTAAATGTTTAAAAAAAAAAAAGAGTCCAACAAAGTAGAAGTCATTGTGACTCCCACAGTGAGTTATCAGTTAACATGCTGTCCTTTTTGATGGCACATTTTAAGAAATTCACCTATATGCATTTGAAGGTTAATCTACTGTTACATTTCTGGCAATTTACAACTTAATAGTAGAAGAACAGCAGAAGACGTGCTTTTGTTTCTTTTTTATTTTAGTGGTTTGCTTTTCTAAATGGCAAGGAAGGAAGTGTGACTGCATTGCAGTGGTCTGTCCTAGATCTAGGCTCTCGGCCTTGTCTCCCGTGTGACTGAGTAAGGGGATTGCGTGAGTGGGCCATGAGCAGAATACCTCTTCCAGATATGCCCACCACCACTTGGCAGCAGCGGGAAGCTGGTGGTGCGGGGAAGCTTTCTTGGGGATACCTGGTTCTCCAGTCCGGTGGGCAGGGTTCTCCCGCCTTGCTCCAAGACGTAGGTCCTACTTCTTCCACACGCCTGTAGCGGGTTCTTCTCTCCTGAGACAGCTCAGCCGTCAGAGCAGCACTGTTCAACTCCAGGAATGCCTTGGGACCCCAGAGGAGGGCTGCCTGGAGTTAATAACGTGCCAGTCATGGTCCTCATGGTGATGCTGTGGGATCACAGTGAAAGACTCAGATTCAGATTATGACCCACATGCCACTGAGGGCATATTATAAAAAAAAGTTCAACAATCATAATTTGAACATGTTTCAAGAGTGATACATTTGGATGAAATGTTATATCCAGTGGTTGTAGAAATAAAAGTGTGTGTAACACACTTCACTCTTCATTTACAAACAACTCTTATACTACAAGTTGAATACAATTTGTTTAATTGTAAGTGGTAAGACTGGCAGGGGCGTGGATGAGACAGAGTGTCTGCACGATTCCTCACCTTACGCAGCCCTATCTGACCCACACGCAGTGTCCCACAGGCTTCATGCTCTGTGTGATTGCCCGGTGTATCGGGTGAAGGTACTAGAGGAACAGGAGGCCTGCGGGGTGGAGAGTGGTGGGCGGTCACTGCCCAGAGGGCAGTCATTGCTGGTGGGCATTGGTACAGAGTGACGGGTAGCTTTGGTAAGAATGTGGAAAGTTTCATAACCTGATGTTGGAAGTTTAAATTGATAGAACCTTTTTGTAGAGTAATTTGGCAAGAAAAATGTGCTCATTTTAGATGAATATGTTGTTTGATCCAATATTTACACTTAAAGGACTTTATCTAACGGAAAAAAATTGGGGAAAAGACACCAGGTGCTTGTATAAAGATATTACTTGCAGCCCTGTTTCTTGTGAAAAATGGGGGGAAGAGGGCAGCTAAATAACCAGCATCAGAATGTTGATTAATCTGGTTGAGGTACATCCTTGAGATGGTGTGCTCCTGCAGTAAAAATACCGAGATCAGTTTTGTGAGTCCTGACATGGAGAGATGGCCATGGCATTGTTAAAGGAGAGAAACTTAGAGATTTTCATTTGAGTAGGAAGAAAGAACGTTCTTATGCACAGAAAGTTTAGAAGTACACGATGTCATTTAACAGTTTTCTACTTCATGCTTTTCTGTGTTTATTTTTATAGTGATGTATAATTTTTATAATGAAAAGAACTAAGATATTTCCATTAAAATCCACAGAAATAGGAAAGAAGGAGGAGGTATAGGGATTGCAGGACAGAGGCAAAGAAGAACATAGGGAAACCGGTATTCTGCATTATTACCCGCAAGTGCTAGAATGGTTGAGTTTCACCCTTTTGTATGAAGTGATTAGTTTTTCAAGCATCTCTTAGGGGAATGGAAGTTACACCAATATTCAG